ATTCCTGCTTTGCAAGGTTTGTTAGCTTTTAATGACTGACGGTACTCTACTGCAAATACCATATTGGTTGGACCCTGTTTACATGCTACTCAAGAATTTCTGTAGAGTGCTGGAAAAAAGAAACAGTGGTATTTGTTTGACCTACTCTGATAAGGTTTAAAAAATGATTTCACTCACCAAGTGTTTACTGCGAATGTAGAAACATTGGCTATCCCTGCAGAAGTATTTTAAAGTTACTTGTAAAGCCTCAGTGAACAGAAATATTGATTACTGTAAGAAGAGATTTAATGCATTTTATTACTCAGAATTGTCACTACCATTTTCAAAACAATGTGGTATAGAAATAGGGATATTTTAAGAAAAAGTAAAATCTTTAGGATCTTTTATCCTTAAATGTGAAAAAATAGAAAGATATATTTTGTTACAAAGGAAAAAAGAACATTTCACACATTCCATGTAAATGTGCACACAGTAGTTGTGGGGTGTGTGTGTGTGTGTGTGTGTGTGTGTGTGTGTGTGTATGTACACACTATACATACAGGCTATGTGAAGAAGTAATCATTCAGAGCTTTTCACTATTTTATTTTCCCCAAGTTTTTGACATCTGAAAAAGAGGCAATCCACGCTGCCACAGTTATTCCAAAGAAAATTTCACCTCCCATTCGTTGAAAACTCCACGCAGGCTTTGTGACTCTGATAGCTGATGTCTTTATGATGAGGGCCTGAGAAAAGTAGATAGCATTAGCCAAGATGATGCTGAAGACGCTTTAAAATGCATTTTATTGTGGGGAAAATTAACGCTTTTCTAATAATCTTAGGGTCTCTAGGCCAGACTGTCCCTTTGATAAGTTAACATGTACTCCCTTTATGCTCCTAGTAGGGGGTAAACAAATGTCTGAACAAACACAAATACGCATAAACACCAATGTGGAGAATGGCAGTGTGTGTCTTCGATCCAGATAATAAGTGTGGGTATTGTTATTTAGATGGAGCATACTGGGACACTTATCTTTTAGTACACACCATTTTCTAACTGAATGCAGTGCTAATCGTGGGATTGAAAGCCATTGTAATTGTGTACCCATCTAAATGCTGACAAGAATATAAAATTACATTATTTGGAACTGAGTTTGATGTTTCGGAGTTTTATTAGCATTTATATTTACTTATACATTAAAATTCAACACAAAAGGAGAGATCAAAGCCATGTGACATATAGAAACAAATGTCAGACCACCACATAACCCTGCTCTCTAAAATCTGTGTGTCCTGTCTTCATACAGGACATTTTAAAAGAGTGTGATACAAATCTGAAATAAGCAAATAATAAGTTTCCATTATAGGCATTACTTACTTGTCTAGATTCTGCAATCTTTGTAAAGCTTCTTTTACACCAACTCTTTTTTATATGTTCACGGTACTGGCAAATCTTTCCACAGTGTGCTAACCACCACACGATGTTAAACACATATTATGAAGTGGATGTAATTGTAAACACACAGAGGGACATAATTACATGTAGCAGATTTAAGAGCTAATTCTTTGCCTTTTTTTTTTTACTCTGCATTTTATCAACATAATTATTTTTTGACTGCAGACTAACACCCTGAAATTGACAAGCATCCATTATAGCAGGAATTTGTTCACCAAATTGGAAAACAATGAACTGCAGGTTTATATGTACCCATTGTCATAAAGAATTAGTACAGCTTTGTTCCACAAGAGGAAAAAGCTAATGATTTTGAAACAGCAGGTGACAAAACACATTCTTTTTTTCCTCCCCTGTTTTCAGTTTGTTGATGAAGTCATTATGAACTGGGACCAGGGTAGGGATGGCCTTCTTTTTAGCAGATAGACTTTTAATGAGCTTCGTTATAAAGATAGTCACATTGATTTGCCTACCTGTTTTTATTTCTTTACTTAGAAACCCCCAGTATTGAAAAGCTACTATCAAAGGACTGGAAAGACAAGCTTCTTGCAATGGGATCAGGGAACTTTGGTGAAATAAAAGGTAATATGTTTGCAATTATTTTGATCTAAAACCTACCGAAATGAATCTGATATTTAGAAATATTAGTGGTGATAAAGTACTTCTGCCCCCATGTACTCTGTCTTTGGTGTTTCTTCTCTCTAGCTTGAAAAGGGATGTACAGTGGTTCTTATTTTCTCTCTGTGCCTTATAATAGTATGTTTTTTTAACAGAATAACCCCACTATATCTTTAACAGTATTTGATTTTCATCTTTTTTTAAAAATTTTGAATGACTTACTTTATAAGTACAAATGTATCTACAGCAGGGTTAAAAACTGCATGAGATGATTTTATACATTCTACATATTAGAAGTATGAATATACGTAATCTCCACTTCAAACCAGGAATGACAAAGGGAGAATGTTTAATTCCTCATATAAAAATAAAATCAAGTGGTGCTTTCAATTCATTAAAAAGTGTGTTTTCTCAGAGCATAGCAGGCAATCTATGGTTTTCTCTTTGTTGCCAATAGGACACTTTTGAATCTGAGTTCTAAAGGATTAATTTTAAGGAAAAACTACTTATTAATATTAATATATTTTGTTATGTATTACTCTGTATATTTTTGATAGAGGCTGAATATATATTTTAAATATCACCAGATTTATATTGATATACATGTAGAAATATGTGTGTAAATAACTTTTTTGCATATGTGTGTACATGCAAGCGTTCTCCCACTGAGAGGCAATCATCTCTCTTAAGGCTTTACTACATCAGAGCATCCTGGAGAAGGGCAAAGCACAGATCAGTCTTCTCAAATATTTGACTTACGTGATGGCAGTATCTCTGTTTGGGAAACTTCCATAAAATGTTTGATTGAGTATCTCACTTTTCATCCATATATTTGGACTTTACATATGTTCAGGCTATGATTAGGTGTGAATGGGTGGTGAGAGAATGAATTCCTGCTAATCAGCAAATTAAGTAACCAGAACCTATAATGGAATGAAATTCAAACAAGTAATAATTAATATCCCTTAAAGAGCTTGAAGACAAAGTATAAAGAGAACAGAAAAGTTTCATTTTCTGAGGCAGCAAGTCCTCTATTTTGTTGGATTTTAACCCATTTGCACCTGAGATTCAGGATGTATTCTCCAAGGTTCTTTATTCTCCTGTGACCTGGGTAATAACTGAGAGCAGAGCAGAGAAGACCGCCTGTTCCAAGCCTTGTGATCTCATTCCATTGGAGGACAAACATTTTTCCCTCCCTCCTTTTCCTCACAAGTCTAACTTAAAAGCAGCAACAGCAGTGATGATAAGCTCAGAGGAAAGAAGCTCAGCTGTCCTTTCAGGCTTGCCTGTGGGGTTAGTTCAGGAAGCTGCAGTACAGTCACAAAAGAAGTTTCTGTCTTTAATTTTGAGTTTTTTAAGCTTCACGTTCAGAGCACAAGTTTAGTTATTGTCCTCTGGTTCTGTTCAAAAAGCTGTTTTCTGATGCATTTAAAAGCAACTGTAGATCTTTCTTCTGTTGGGGGCATGGTTGTTAGGTGCTCGGATCAGGTTTGGCAGAAAACTGGAGGAAAAAAGCGCTGGGTTACTTTTCCTATTGACTGCCCGTGACAGTTGCAATTACTATCCATTGTTCATAGGTGGCTGGAAAGTGGAGAGGATACAATAGTGTGTTGCCCTCTGGGGGGAAATGAATTTGACTTAATGGTTCTTGTGGGGGGGCGGTCAGACCCTATGATTATGTGCTGCCCAGGAATGTGGTTTTCATACCACCTCAGACGAAGTTAGTCAAGAACAATAGCCCAGCTGTTTGGCCTCTATTTTTTATGAGGCAGATAAAGGTATAAGTCTCATGTATGCGTAGAGTGTTTTCAGTCAGGGTAGGGAAGGATAAGCATGACTTTTTTTTTTAATCTGAAAATATGAACGTATTCAATTATTAGATAATTGATTACTGATAATTCAGAGCAATGTATCTGAGTAGAACCTTTGTATATATTAGGATGTTTACAGCCTTTACAATATTTACTGAGTCTTGTGGATTGAAACTCTTCTCCATTTACACTGGTCAGTTTTCTCTTAACTTTTAATTAGTTCCAGGAAACATGAGTGAGTGAATGAATGCGCGCGCGCGCGCGCGTGCATATGTGTGTGTGTGTCCATTCTTGAATATCTAAGACCACAGCCAAGTGAGGGCAGAGCTCAGTTCCTAAGTGCTGGCTTCAAGTTGCTGTGAGTGAATTACTTTCAGCGCATTTGGACAAAGATTAAACTTTACAGCTTGGCAAAATTCAACGAAGTGTTTCTTACTATTACTGTTTAAAAAGTGAAAATGATAAACTTTTAAAAAGAGGAGAAATAAATAGCAATTGGTCTGGATAGTTTAGCTGTCAATAAAGAGTTGTCATACACAAAGTCAATCTCATTTTTCAAGAAACAGTGTGAGTTAGGAAAGGTCACCCATTTCTGAAAGCATAAAATTATTTTTCATGTTAGATTAGAATTTAGACCATTTTATGGTCTGGTACTTTGGAAATGTGAAGTAATTAGGTTTTAAAGTTACATGAGAAACAATTCTCTTAAAAACACACACACAAAAAGTACACTGGATTCAGTTTTCCAGAACAAAAGAGTTTGACTAAAAAGGTCTACCGATAGCAAACAGTCAATATATATTATAAACTGATTAGATGACGACAGACATAATTTATTTCTTCTTCTCTAATCAGCCGTATAGTGTAACTGGCCATTTACAGAGGTTTCTTTGCCCTTATCTATAGCAGAAGCACTGAGTAATGGTTGTGTGAAAGATGAAGAAATACATTTTATAGCCTCATAGTTACTGAGAAGGGAAAAAACAGTGCCTGCACTCCAGTTGGCAGCCAGTAGCATCACACATTGTTTCAGCTAGCACGAAATTCCATTACACTGAAGGTCATTGCATTGGCACTTCACCTGAGGACAGTATCTGGGGATCCATGAAAGCTTTGACTAATCTAAACAGATCGTCTGTTTTTCAACAAAGCCATTGCAAAATGTGTATTTTACTGACTTAAATTTATTTGTAAAATTATAACAAAAATATCTTCATGCAAAATTCTCTTAAAATATTTCTATTTTGTTCAGGTTATAAAAGCAGGGCGTTGTTTGAGAGGTTTTCTGACTAGGTCACTCAGAAAAGCCTAGATCAGTTTCTCTACCTGCCTTGTTTGAAGAATTCTTCAGAGCCTTGTTTCTTTCCCATTGGTATCCCAGGTAGACCCTTCTCACCCTGCTCAGAATGCATTCATTTAGGCCAGTAAAGTGTTATATCTGGTATTAAGGAAAATGCCAGTTGTAGTCGGTATAATAAAAAATTGGCTCTTTTTGAAAGCTATAATTTTGTTCTTTCTAGAAGATGGGACATAAAGGCAAACACCAAACAGCTCTTGAATGCCAATAATGGATTCAAGTAAATAATCCATTCCACAATACTGTGGTCTTTCAGAACTCATGAATTAAAGTCATGCTATGTAGATTCAACACGAGGATTAAAGTAGATCTCCTCTTAGGTGACACAACATTTTGAGATGAAAGAGATATGTAGATTTAGTATATGGCTTGAAAGAGATGATTCTGTTTAAATAACATTAGACGATTTGAAAATAAGCAGGCTTGGAACAGGAATCAGGTCCCAGGTAATAATCTAGTAAGAGGTATCCTTGGATTTTTATAAATTTAAAACACGGAAACTAAAATCTCAGCATTTAGATACGTAAGGGTTTGTATAACTTTGAAAGCTGTCTTAAACCCATTCTTTTAAAAGTCCAGTAACTCTTTAAGAAACACATGGTTTGCTAATTACCTTGTGACTTTTTCATTTGTGCATTTTATATATATATATATATATATATATATATATATATATATTTCTTCACATTTTTTCAGAAGGGTTGGAAATGTTGATTATTTTCTGAGGGAATTGTTGTATCTGGAATTTGTTTAACATAAGAGTCAGCCATAAGGAAGGTACATAACATATAGTCATTTACTTCTAAATAAAGTAAATGTTTAATGTTTTTAATCTACTAAGCTTGTTTTATAGTTCCTTGTAGTTGCTTATGAGTAGGGTTTTCACTTTTTGTAAAAACTATTTCATAAGAACTGAAGAAAGACTACTGGGGCACAGAATATAAATTTTTAAAATAAGTTTGGCAGTGTCTATAAAAGCAGAAAGCGACTTTATGTTTTCTACAAATCAGTTACTTGCTCTGTCTTAGGAAGCCAGAGTCCTTATGCCAGTGTATAAACACAGCAAGCGATGGGAAGAGACCAATCAGCCACTGGCTCTCATTGATTTGTATATTGATAATCCAGTTCACCAGTTAAGAAGTTATATATACCTTTTACAGCAGGCACTTAATAATGCATATTTTAAGCAGATACTCTTGCATATTTAATCTAGGGTTTATATTTGAAAATAAAAATATTCTCTCCTCAACATTTTTCTTATTTAAAAAGGCATTCATTCATTTAACAAGTATTCATCTGTCCGAGGGTTGTGAAGATCCTAAAATTAAAATAATTATAAAACCATTGTTTTTTTCTTGTAGATGTGGACTCCAAAGCTTACGCTATCCAGATCATTGGATAATAGAATTTACCTAAAACCCTTTCCTCTTTTAAATTAACATTTCTCTTGCTAGGGAAGCATGATGTAGTTAAAAAGATTTGGTGTCTTGTTGCCCTGATTCTCTCAAAGACTTGTGGAAATGAGGTTACCTCTTTTGGTTTATTTCCTCATCCCCTCATTTAGAAACAGTTGCATTGATTACATGCCTGTTTATGTACAGCCACTTTGTTAACATCTTTTACAAAATTATTGTAACAAAGTCATTTTATTCCTATTTTATGTAGGAAGAAATTGAGTCTCAGAGAGAGAGATTAATTATCCACAACCACGTACTTTAGTTGTGACAGGGTCAAGATGTGACTCTAATTCTGTCTGCCTTCAAAGCCTGTGCTCTCTACATGATGCTTGGTAGTCCGTCTTAGTAAAGTTGGAATGGGTGATCTCTAAAATCCTTTAAAACATGAAAACATATTCAGACCCACCACAGCTAGATGAAGAGTCCCTCTGAGATGCACCTATCATTAGCCTGCCTCCATGGTGAACTTTCCTTGTAGACTATCTAACTTACTGTAGGCCCAAAGTTTGGAACCCAGTACGTATTTGATGAATGGATGACCAAGAAATGCCATGTTTTGAGATGGCTATTATTGACTACATTCCAGTCTCTAAGTGCAGTAAATTGAATGTGATATTAAAAACAAAACAAAACAAAGCTGTTTTTTTACATTTTAAGTACAATACCCAAGTAAGTGGATGGAATAATCTTGGGAAAAGGTTATAAAATTACAATCTCCATTAAAAGGTAGACATCTGTAGTAAGAAATTGTATAGAACCATAATTTTCAAAAAAAGGTAAGAACGACCCTTGCTTTCACTGTACAAATGATAATGCACACATCTTGTTCATAATGTCCCAGAAACAAAATATCCAGCCATGGGGTAACAGTGGTAAAGACCATAGCTACTTTTGAATTGTTCCATTTCATTCTGATAGTCGCCCTTAAAACTGATAGCTTTCACGGGAATTTCCTGGCAGTCCAGTGGTTAAGACTTGGTGCTTTCACTGCCAGGGAACTCCCGCAAGTCAAGCGGTGCAGCCAAAAAAAAAAACCTGATAGCTTTCCATAGTCCATATATTTTAAAATCCAAGCCAAAGTCCACCTTTTAAGATATTGAAGCAAAAAGAATTAAACTATTTTTTCAAAATAAATTACAGAACTCTGAAAGAAGGTAGGAATATTTATCGTATTAGCAGTGTACACTAGAATATCGATTTATACTGTCATGTAATACATGATTGCATTCCTTATGTAATTTTAATAGATTCCAACTTCTAAGAGTATCTATATTGCAGTAAAGGATATATAACTAAATTTTATCAAAGTTTGATTGCATTCGTTGTGAATGAAAAAGACCAATGTACAGATGTTTGTAAGTTAGATAACAAATAGTCCTTTGATGAAATAGAATAATGCCATTCATACCTTCTGATGAGACGGTCTGACTTTTACTCTAGTTGGATAAGACTGCCATTGAGAAAAGCTTTAGTTGTAAATTTAGAATAACTTAAGTTTGTTTCTATTCATTATATTTTCAGTTCATTCAACAAATACTGCTATCTGTCTTGCCATGTGCTATGTTCTGGAGATGTAATGGTAGCAAATGGAGTAGACAGATTTCTGCCCTTCTGGAGCTTACACTCTAGTAGAGGCACTTGCCTTTTTTTTTTTTCCAATTTTATTTTATTATTATTATTTTTTTCACCTTTATTGGAGTATAATTGCTTTACATTGGTGTGTTAGTTGCTGCTGTATAACAAAGTGAATCAGCTGTATGCATACGTATATCCCCATATCCCCACCCTCTTGCGTCCCCCTCCCACCCTCCCTATCCCACCCCCTCTAGGTGGTCACGAAGCACCAAGCTGATCTCCCTGTGTTATGCGGCTGCTTGAGGCACTTTCATTAGGCAGAATTTTTAAAGGCAACGTAATGAATGACTTTTAGATCCTTCAGGTGGATTACTACTTGAAAGCAACAACATTTCCATAAAAAAAATCAAACCAAGTCGAGTCCTGTCCAAATTATCACACTGATAATCTAAGGAACACCAACAATAAAAGAAAAAAAAACATCCTGGCAAAGATTGACTGTTACTTTGAATTAAATGTATGGTAATTTTTTTGAGGGAAGAAACATAATCTCTAGTTTACTTTCAACATCAAAATTCTAGGACTTTTCCTTTCCTGAGTGACTCTTCCTTCCTTTTACTTTTCCTTTAGTTACATCAAAACTCCCAAAAATTTACTGTGATTTTGGTTGTAACTTCAAGCCATATATCTATTGCATTTTGGTAGAATAGAACAATATTGGGGAAATGTAAGCTTCCAAAGATTTTTTCTTGTTATTTCAAATGTATTTGAAAGCATCCTTAACTTAAGTAATCCTAATAAGGGTTATTTATCTATTTGCATAGAATCATACATTATCACTCAATTAAGGACTTTTCTCTCATCTTAAGTTTATTTATTGAATTCATTTAATAAAAGGTTATGGGATGCCTACTATGTGCTAGGCATTACTCTGGGGACATAGTATTAAACAAAAAAGCTAGAATTCTGCTATCATGGAGTTTATACTCTACTGGGAGATGCAATAAATAAATATGTCAATAATGATACAACATATGGTGCTAACGACTATAATCTTGGATTTAACTGTAACCTTGGGTGGCCATAATGTGATCAGTTAGTTTTCCAACTACATTTCATTATTTCATGAGAGCATAAATTTATATTCTCAAACTTGAATATTTTTTCTGCTAGCTATATTCTATTTTTGAAGAAAGCTTCTGAGTGGCATATGAGAAAACAGTCTAAAACTTGATTAACTAATAGAGTTTTCCTTTTTAAATGTAGAATTCCTTAATTCTGATTCTTCAAGATTCTCTTTTTAAGAAAAGAAGAATTGTATTACTGATAATAATACCCTTGATCTCTTAATAATTGTGGTTATTACATTTTCATGTTTTGTCTTGCCTCTTTGACTTAAAAAAAAAAAAACTACTTACAGGGCTTCCCAGGTGGCGCAGTGGTTGAGAGTCCGCCTGCCGATGCAGGGGACACGGGTTCGTGCCCCGGTCCGGGAAGATCCCACATGCCACGGAGCGGCTGGGCCCGTGAGCCATGGCCGCTGAGCCTGCGCGTCTGGAGCCTGTGCTCCACAACGGGAGAGGCCACAACAGCGAGAGGCCCGCGTACCGCAGGAAAAAAAAAAAAAAACAACTACTTACAGCCAAGAGCTGTGTTTTAAACCTCTTTTTGTTTCCATCAAACCTCAGATTAGAACATTAAGAATAATAATTGCTCAGCCAACAGTTTTTTATTTACTTATAAAAGGGGGAAGGGCTTCCCAGGTGGCGCAGTGGTTGAGAGTCCGCCTGCCGATGCAGGGGACACGGGTTCGTGCCCCGGTCCGGGAAGATCCCACGTGCCGCGGAGCAGCTGGGCCCGTGAGCCATGGCCGCTGAGCCTGCGCGTCCGGAGCCTGTGCTCCGCAACGGGAGAGGCCACAACAGTGAGAGGCCTGCATACAGCAAAAAAAAAAAAAAAAAAAAAGGGGGAAAACAACTACAGATTATTACTCATCATAAATAAAAACAATCAAAATATTTGTTCATCCTGATATTTTGTAATGAGTAAATAGCCATCACTTTTTACTGTTGAGTTATAATCTAAAAGAAGGTAAGTATATGTTTGTGTGTCAAACCTTATTCATGTAATAATTCTCTATACACCAGAGTCATTGTCATCGAAAAACCACTCTCTTCTTATTTATCTTTTCTTACATGTTTTATTGCCATCTTATTTTCAGGGACTCCCGAAAGCCTCGCTGAGAAGGAGAGACAGCTCATGGGGATGATCAATCAGTTAACCAGTCTGCGAGAGCAGCTGTTGGCTGCCCATGATGAGCAGAAGAAACTGGCTGCATCTCAGATTGAGAAACAGCGCCAGCAAATGGAGCTGGCCAAGCAGCAGCAAGAACAGGTGAGTAAGAACTAGAGAACACAGTCAGATTCCTCAGGTATTGTTCTGCCTGCAGCATATAGGTCACTCTCGGAGGCAAACAAAGATCAGTAAAAGCTTCTTCCCCCTGCCTTGCATAAGTAAATAAAAAGGCAAAACACCAAAGTGAGCAAAAAACTCATCTGGAAAAGCTTATTAACTATTTTAGTGGTACATAACTTGGAAGTGATTATAATCAAGGTGAAATTCATGAGCACAGTACCAAAAAGAACCGTGGAGAGTCAAGAGAACATTTCCAGTCAGGGACATTATGAAAGATTTCATTCAATGTGTTTGGTGTGAACTTTGAAGGCTAGGTAGGATTCAAAAAGTGAAGTCAATTTCCAATCATGGGGCAAGAAGTTTGGTTAAGAGGCTATTATGATAATCTAAATAAGGTGTGAGACTCTAAACCAGATAGGGTAATGACCATGGAGAAAGAGAAAAAAGGGATAAATAGGTGGAAGAATTATGGTCAGTTGAATTTTTTAAGTGGGCTAAAGAGAGAGGAAAAGCGTTGAGCCTGGGTAACAGGGAAGGTCAAGAGGAGGGCAGATTTGGAAAAGCAGGTGGTTTTATTATGAGGAATTAGAGCTGTCGTCAGGTTGTCCATCTGAAAGTATGTGAGAGAATAGAAATATCAATTAACAGTTTGGAAGAGAGGGCTGAGCCTCATTACCTAGATTATCTACATAGAGATGGTAGTTTAAACCACTGGAGACAGTCAGTTTCATTCATTTATTCAAAAAATAGTAATCAAGTGCTTCTTGTGTGCCAGGCACTGTGCTAACTACTGAAGTTACCTCAATTAACCAGAAAGACAAAGCCCCTAATTTCTAGTGGAAAGAGAGACAATTAACAAAGGAAAAGAAAAATTAACAAAATAACTTCAGATAGTGATAAGTAATTTGAAAAAATGTAATGAGAGTAATTTAATAAATATTGATTAATATGACAAATTTGGGTTGCCATCTTAGTTTGGGTGGTTGGATCTGGCAGTTAAGCTCAAATCTAAATGACATGAGAGGCAGCGGTATTAATATCTAGGGCCAAGGTGTTTCATGCAGAGGAATGACAGGTTTATAGGCCTTAAATGAGAGTAGTGGTGATATCATGAGAAAATGGAAAGGAATTAAGGGAAGATAGATCCTTGGGAGATGCTGGCATATAGCTGGTAGGGAGAGGAAAATGAACATATCTAGAAGCAAGAAGCTACTAGAGTAGTCATTTAGATTCTCATTGTCAGCCTTGAAGCATGTGGCTTCTCTGGAGCTTTAGTAGCAGAAATCAGATAATAAGAATTGACATGCAGAAGAATGATGCATAGTGGGGAAATGGAGGTAATGCATAAGCAGTATTACTTAAAAGAGGATTGGTAGTAATGGGAAGGAAAGACAGAAGGTGTCATAGGGTGAGCTTACATATAAAGATGGCACATCTTTTCTAGGACTAACTTAATTTACCATCCCGTGTTCTGGGTTTAGTGCACTCACCATCTTAAGTGGAGGAGGGCTGTTATTTAGTGAAGGGTACTTTTGTATCTACACAAATACTGCAAAACCTTCTAGACAGCTGTCAAAATGTAAACTAGCAGAGTTGAAAGAGGTGGGGAAACATTCAGATTACATTTGAGGAGCCCTCCTTTCCTTCTGTTTACTTTTCTCTACTTGATGGTTCATCTCTGCTTGAAAGATGATATTTTTATTTTTAATGAAATGCGTCACCATCTTCCTTAAGTATATATTTAGCCTGTTATTGGAGATGGCCCTTATTCCTCTTGCTCTACTCCTATGATGAAACGGCTCAGAATGATTGCCCATGACAGTCTAGAAGAACACCACTCTTTTCTTGCTTATAACCCTCAATACCTTCAGACATCCGAATTCAGAAGATCCTAGGAGCCTCTGAAACTGGAACTCAGATGGGGATATTTCTTTGTAGAGAATCCATACTTCAATGGGCCTGAGGGCATGCTTGTCCTAAAAAATCTGAGCAATTACTAATGGAGAGCAAGGTTCCTTACTTTCTCTTTCACACTCTGGCCCATCTTCAAATATCATCAACGGATTCTAGAATTTTTTACTTACTCTGACATTCTCCTTAGAACTTCAGAAATCCTTAGGTTCTTCCAGAAATTCTCCGCTGTATTGGAGCGATGCCAGGCAATGCTGCCTATACAGCCTGGGAGAAGAGCCCTTCTGAGAGCTACCGGTCAGGTTCCTGAAGCCCGTTCTGCTCCCCCAGATCCTGTCCGCCGTGCAGTGCTGGCTCACAGCATCACCACTCTGGTAGTCACTGGTAGTTTTCATCGGGACACAGGGATATTTCTGAAGGACATTTAGTATTTATTCCTTAAGATCCGGGTTAGGTTTCTCTCACCTTGAGAACTCCTTTTCTGACCCTACTCCCAACACTCCCTAGTCAGTACAGTGTGTCCCTACTCTGTGCTCCATTCCACATTCATCTTTTCAACAACTTTCTGTTGAGCACCAATTTGATGCCAGCTTCTGTTTTAGTTAATAGGTTACAGCAAGGAATAAAACAGGCCAAAATACCTCACGTGTTGAATTCTAGTTGGGAAGAGATAGACAATAAATAAGTAAAATATATGTTGAAAATGAAGCAGAAAAATAGGGATGAGGGTGCCAGGTAGAGAGATAGGCTCTTTTAAAGTGACTGCTCAGGGCTTCCCTGGTGGCGCAGAAGTTAAGAATCCACTTGCCCATGCAGGGGACACGGGTTCGAGCCCTGGTTCAGGAAGATCCCACATGCTGCGGAGCAACTAAGCCCATGTGCCACAACTACTGAAGCCCGCATGCCTAGAGGCCATGCTCTGCAACAAGAGAAGCCACCGCAATGAGAAGCCCACGCACTGCAACAAAGGGTAGCCCCCGCTCGCCACAACTAGAGAAAGCCCATGCGCAGCAATGAAGACGCAATGTGGGGGAGGTACAAACATTCAGTCTATAGCTAACTAAGACAAACAACCTAATTTAAAAATGGGCAAAGTTGAGTAGACATTTCTTCAAAGAAGATATACAAATGGCTAGTAAGCACATGAGAAGATTCTCAACATCACTAATCACTAGGGAAATGCAAATCAAAGCCACAATGAGATACCACTTCATACCCTTTAGAATGGCTATTATGGAAGCAACAAACAAAATTACAAGTGTTGCTGGATGTGTAAAGAAGTTGGAATTCTTGCACATTGCGGTAGGAATGTAAAATAGAGTAGCAACCATGGAAAAGAGTGTTCCAGATGGAGGGGAAAGCAAGTGCAAAGGCCCAGAGGCAGGAGTACCCTCGGGAAATAGAAGTACCCTTGGTGTGTTCAACAGACAGGAAAGCGGGGTGGCAAAGGGAAGAGAGAGAGATGATGTCAGAGAGATAGCAGGAAGCCAGCTCATACAGGGCCTTGCAGGCATCATATGAAAGCTGGCTTTTACTCTGAGCGAGACAGAGAGTTTTGAAAAGAGGAATAACACAGCACAACTTATATTTTAAAAGGATCTCTCTTGGTGCTGGTTTATAGTAGACTGCAGGGAACGAGGGCAGAGGCAGAAAGAGCAGATAGGAAGCTATCACAGCAATCCAGGCAAGAGGCAGCAGTGACTTAGAACAGGAGGAAGTGTGGAGGGCTATGAGGTGGTTAGTTTCTTAATAAAATCTTAAGGCACTTATAAAAGGATTTAAATATCAACTGAAATACTGATATGTGGGAGGAAAGAACCGGACTTAAGGAAGAGAGTGGTATTTCGTTTTCTACCTTTTCCTTTCCGACTTTTCTTCAAAGAGAGAAAAAGGAATTTCTTTAGGCTGTATTCCTAAGATAAAACAAAAGCATTAAAATAATTATAATTGTACCAGTGTACATAGGGGAAATAAAAAATTCATTGTGCCGCCATGTAGATCCAGCCTCATCATATAGGTTCTTTACTTTCATTCATAGTAATGGACTCTGCATAAATTTTTTCCTGAATTTTTTGCTTTCTGATACAGAGGTTAAGGGATACACTTTCCTAATGAAAACGATAGTGATCATAGCATTGAGAATAAGAATTAGAGCGTATTTATAAGGTAGCTATAAGTTTCATGAGGTGAGAAGTTACATTCCTTTGAGAAGGTTTCCTGCCCTATCTCATGAAGTGTTTCGAATTTTCTTCTTGTCTCTTCACTCATGCACTCTTCATCAAGTGTTCACTCTGTACTCCTTTTGCATCAGGCTTTGCACAAATGGTGAGAGCAAAATCTACGTGACCCCTAACTTCACTGTATTTATGAATTTCTACCTAGGAGACAGAAATGTGTTAATTAAAGCAAAAACAAAAATAAATATAACATCATAGCATGTGGTATAGTATCAAGTAGGTAGAGGATGTTATAAGAGCGAAAAACAGGGGGCAGTTGTGCTCGTCTGGCTTAACACTTAGGATGACCACACCGAGGGCTAATTCCTGAGTTTAGTTTTGAATCTGTTGAATTTGGAGTGCCTTTGAGAATGTTGTTGGATAAATGGGTCTAAAGCTTAAAGCAAAGATCCAGGCTAGAGAAACAAATTTGTAATCACTTGGCATACGTGTGGATGTAGGAATAGAGTCTAAAGTGAGCCTACAGCATTGTGTGACGGGAGAGAGCCATTGACAGTAACTGAGAAGAATCAGACTCAGAGGTAGGAGCCAAACAGGGAAAATGTGATGTCACAGAAGCCAAGGGAGAAAGTTCAGGATCAAGGGAAAGCGCTTGAGTATTGAATTCTGATGAAAAGTCAAGCAGTGAGGACTAGAAAACACTTCAGAATTTAAAAAATTGGAAGTGACTGGTGACTTTATTAAGAATCCTGTTAGTAGAGACCAGAATTGAATGTGTTGAGGACTCGGCAGTCAGTTTGTGAGAGGCAGAAATGGCAGTGTTTACCAACACACAAAGGCATACCAGAACCTCACTAAGGAATAGAGCATCTTACAGTACCTTGTCCTACTCTGAACCCTTTGGCACACACCCTCCTGTTTGTGAAATATTCTCTTTCTTTTCCAAGGGCTGAAAACATCAGAGGTAGTACCTCCTTAACATACTGCCAGGAAGAGGGATTTTTGAAACTCCAGCATTTCACGCTGGATTGGACCACTGTTGTTGTGTCTTAGGCTTCGTTTTCCAAAAGAAGCATAACTGTTCCTTAGGTCTAAATATCTTGTCTGATCCTACTTAAGGATGAATTGCTGGTCCTGTAGGGGCTCAGGCACATCTATCTTCATAAGCTTAATCAGTGTCAAATCAAACTTTGAGACACAGAACATTGGTAATTTCCCCCTGGGACTGTAATATGCTCTTAAATTTTTCATGTGCCATTTCTCCGCAGATTGCAAGACAACAGCAGCAGCTTCTGCAGCAACAACACAAAATCAATTTGCTTCAGCAACAGATCCAGGTCAGAAATCATAATTTCATACGGACTTCCAATTAAGAAATAGATTTTGTTTCTCATTTTCAGGTGACCTGACTGAAATGAGCTCCAAAATAAAGGTTACTTTCAGCCTAATCATGACGTGTCACCCACGTGCCATGAGAATCTTGCACACGGTGGCTCTGTCACGGGCCCGGCTGTGTCGCGGTGTTTTAGGGGAGGCAAGCTGATGGTAATTTTTATCCTACACGGAAAGGAAATTATTGTAGAGAAATGTTTCATTTTCTCTATTCTTTAATGTTTAATATGTGCCTGGAAATGTTCTTAATGGGGGAGGTGCAGGGGAACCAAAGCAGAAAGGTTTTCAGTTAGACGTCGGGGGCAGAAAGAACTTTTTACAGTAGGCTCGAGAGCCACGTGTGATCAAGGTGGAAGTGAGGGAGGGTAGCAATTTGGTGTTCAAGTCGAATTTCACCCTTCATACTGCATGGAGAAACGAGGACTGAGGGCTCTATAACCTCCATATTTTTCTTCTGTGGAAATTTGCAATGATGAGAAGCAAAGCTGCCAGGGGTAGCCTGTCTCCACCACTTGCTTGTGGCATGCGTTTTGCCAAAATTTGTTTCCCCTTCTGAAAGTTCCCTTTCTGAAAGCACTCATTTCGTAGAGTATTTAGGAGGATTTAATAAAATCATGGATGGAGAGCTTTAGCGTAGTGTCAAGACACATAGTAAGTACTCAATACATACTTGCTATGACTAGCAAGAAGAGGAAACTAGTTCATGGAGCAACGGCTCCAACCTTACGGGACATCATCCATCGGAAATCAACTGTTAGATTTACAGTCAGCTTATCTGGGGAGAAATTCATCATTCTCTTGAAGCTGTATCTTGAGAATCCAATATATTTTATTAAGTGTAAATATAAATGACAGAAGCAAACATGTCAAAATTATTTCATCCGCATGTTTATCATGTTTAGACTTATTTGCCAAAAAAGTTTATCCCATTTTATCTAACTGGGTCAGCTACACTTAATTTCTTTACTGTGGGTTATATAGCCCAATCAAGGTTTACTCATTCTTATTCTACCTGAGATTTTAATGAACACAGTTTCAGTGAGACAGAGAAACATCAGTGAAATGTTCCAACCAAGACTCCGTGCCTTCCTTAATTATGAACAGCGTATTTCTAATGTGATATTATCTGTCTGTCCATATCTGGAGTGTGGTTATTCATTCAGTGGCTTAAAACTGTTTTTCGGGTTTCATGTTTAGCCTAAGCATGCTGCCTTTGAATGTAATTTTAGTTGGTGGTACGAGGTTATCTACACTTAAAATGTTTTTGATTATTGAAAACCAAAGATAATAGAATTATTATGGCAATTTCTCATTATAAGTAAGATACAATTCCATAATGAGTGGTGTGGTCCTTTGCAAGTCACTTGGTTTCACTGTGATTTGATGAGGGTACCAATGGTTTTAAGTGTTTATAATTTTTATGAGATTGAGATAGTCTTTTGTTAAATAGAATTGCAAAAATGTATGTAAACCCGTATTATAAATATGTAGAAGGCTCAATCAGCTGTGTTTTCTGACCATATAAATTGTGCAACACCTTCAGTACTTACTTTTTTTGCAATTATTCCAAAGTTATGACCACTGCATTCATAACGTGGATTTAAATCTCTGTCACAATAACAAAATGTTGAAATTGGAGGATTTCTTGCTCCAGAGCATGGAGCATTGTACTTTATAAGGCAGAGCATTTTTTAAATGAAGTACCTTAAACTATTCTAGAAACGACATGACTATAGAAAATGTATTCCAGCGAGCTGGAGCCAAGTTTAGTAACTTGCCCAAGATCACATGACTAGTTATAGGTAGAACCAGGATCAGAAGCAAAGTTTTCTGACTGTTAGTTGAAATTTTGCTGAGTATGAGAATTTTGAAAGCTTAGAATTTCTATTTGATCAAAATGTTATGCTGCTGGCCTCCACTAGTTCACAGGGTAGACCAAAAAAAATCCAGTAGTCCCTAAAGGAAATAATGTCACACTGACAGTAATTTGGGGGAAACATTAAAAGATGCTGAGATACTATATCTGGGTATTTGTCCTCTTTTCTAGTGTTAGTACAGATAAATGATACCGATGGAGTCAAAACCCATCACGCTATTATTTAAAAAAAAAGCCTGGGAATGTTTCAGGCAAAAAAATAAATACTGAGCAAGAGTGACAGTCTGAAAGGAATTAATTTTCACAGCTTCTAGTATATTCATTAACTGAAAGCATAGTTCTAAAGTATATTTTATAAATTGTTAATTTGGAGCTGTCTAACAAACACAATAGTTATGAAAATCACAATATATTTAAATTAGTCTATTGAGAGATATGGGAAGCACTGATGTAGTGGCATATGTAGAAACAGAAGATTAAAAACATAGAAGAGATCCTTTTTTGGTCCCCACATAAATCTTTAACCATATTTCCTTTATAGAATTTTTTCTCTCCCTTTTCTTCTTTCTACTTCCTCCTTTTCTTTGGCATCATAGGACAAGGAGGGAGAAGATTAAAAATCAGATCTGCTATATGGAAAGCAAATTAAATGTATAACAGATATTATTATGAAATGAATTTTTGTCAATACATAATCAATGCTCACATAAGAATTTACCATAGATTAAATTTTCTTTGATATCTGAAAATATATAGTATATTTTGAATTTGATCTACTTTTTTTTCTTTCTTAAATATGGAGCCTTAAGACGTTGTAGAAGAAAACATACCACTTACGTCATTCGTCCTGATTGCATTTTTTACATGTTTTGTGCCATTGTTCCTTTGGGCGTTAGAAAACAATGCATTCCAGTTCCTCTCTTGATATAATAGTGGACTGCAATGTTACTAGTCCACAGTTAGGGCTACATTTAAAATTTTTCTTTCAGCTATAAATACACAAGACGTTAACTTGGTTCAGATATTGGGAAAGTTATGCAATACGTTAGATGGTCTAAGCAGATCTGCGAGATGGATTAGATTGATAGGTAAGAGAGCAGAATGAATTTTCACACTTGATAGCTGTGTTAAATGACAGGAGGGTGATGTCCCCTAACACTTTCCTCATTCTTTCCTCTCTTTAAAGGAGAGGGTAATTCAGTCATCTTTATTCCATTCGAAGTATATTTCATTCAAGTTTAAAAACGTATGAACAAGTTTGTACATGTGTGTATGAACAAACATTCACATATTCTAATGACCCAGGTTATTTAAAATTTCTCTTGACCTGTTAATTCTATTTTCTTTCAACTCCAGATGAAAAGAACGGTGGTAAGTTTTACTCTGCAGTTACTTGTTGAAAGAGAAAAATGCCATAAGAATTGGCAAATTAGCCAGTTTATTTAATCACTTAGGGCCAGTTCTTTATGAACTGTTCTTATCTCTTTAAAAAGCAACCTTGGCTCTAAAATTGCATGATTCTAATTGGGTTGAAAACTCAATCTACATTACTTCTTTATAAAGACTTTATAGAGTTATAGCCTTCTTCCAAGTTTATTCACGTAACTCATGAGGATTAAAAGAAGAATTAAGAACATTTTCTCTCATTCTTTACAAGATCATAAATCAGTTCATTCTACAAATAAAATCATGCATATCAGAAACATCCCATCTTCCCTCAAGAATTTGTGTCTTTCTTTATGAGACCCTTAATTTTAGGAACACTAAGAAGGTTTAGTCTTCCTTTTCTACTATTCAGCAATATTTTTCTTTAATCTTTTTGTTTATTGTCCTTAAAAAAAAAAAGAACATTTTTGCACTTTTACTTACTGTATCTAGCTAACTTTTAATGCACGTTAATACGTAAGATGAAATTTATAAATATTTCAGAGAAAAATATCCTTCTAGAGTTTTTGAGGGTAATCTTTTTTTTTCTTTTACTCTATTGCTTGTGCTATAGTGCCCATCTTCAGCAGTTTTATTTCCTGACTAATCTCTTTTTTATAATAAATCAGCCTGTTTCTAATACTGTTAGATGGTTTATGTTTGCAGTAACGATCCTAGACGAGTGGTTCATCTTGACCTGATTCACTGTTACCAAAACCTTTTAAAGTAGATGAACAAGTGACCTCTATTCAGCATCCATCATGGCAACAAACTGAATGTTCCTGAAGACTCAAGTTCTCTTTTTGTCTTGAAGCTTTGTATAGGACATGGTTTCTGTAGCTTTGGGTGTGTGTTTGGGGGGGGGGGCGGGGGAAGCATATCCTAGTTTTAAATTTCTTACCCTTTTTCAATAATACTTAATGGAATTTAAAGTTCTTATTAGCATCTTAGAGGGTCAATCCAACAACATGCTCTAATACGAAATTGAATTAATATTTTTAAGGGCGAATTTAAAGATATTGTACTTAAATATTTTTAAGGACGAATTTAAAGATACTGTACTTCTTTTCAAATGCATAATTTCATGATTCCCATACTGAAAGCTCAGTGTTTAAACTGTCATAAGAGATGCCACATATTTGTTGCATTCCCTCTTCTGATAAACTTTTCCAACTATTGTTCATTGTGTTCTCTTGGGGGCAAAGAATTGGTATTTAATAACCCCCTGTCATTGTTTCTGATTCATAAGGTAAACACCTGCAGGACTAATAGTAGCTTTGGGTCACTGATTCTGTCTGGAGCTGAGGATTGAGCAAAGGACAAATCTCTGTTCCTTTGTATTCTTAGTTGTGCAGTGTATATTCCATAGTATGTTGGAAAGAGCTTGATTCTTTAGGTGTTACAGGATTATATTTAACTGTATGAAATTTAAGTGTATTAAATGGTTAAACAAAAAGATAGAGAGCAGGTTCTATGGATTTAGACATACTCATGTTCAGTTTCTGCATCTTTGTACCTCATCTGCTATGTGATCTTGAGAAAATTGCTCAGTCCTTCTGAGTTTCATTATTCCCACCTATTAAATGGGAATTATAGTACCTAAGTCACACCTGGTTAGTCTGAGGATTAAATGGCATCATCCCT